GGTGATTGTGTGTTGAAGTGATTATTAATTATCCGTGAAAATAATCTACATGCCAGCCTTTCCTAACTACTGCCGTTTGCTGTTTGTCCCCCTAACCTATCTGTTGTCCTTGTTGTCCATTTCAAGTTGGTAATTTCAATTGATTCTGCCGCCCTTACCTATATATGCTTCCCTTGGCTATCAGGTGCAACCTCATTTCCCCCCTTTACCTCAGTAGAGTCTGTCGTACGACTTGCATATATGGATGTCCATATATGCATGGCTAAGATGCATATACAGAAGGCTCTCATGTCCATACCTATCTGCTGCACTTGCCTATTTTCTGCCCCTGCATATCTTCTGTCCTTAGCTATCTGCCGCACCTATCTATCTCTGTTCCTTGACTATCTGCTGCCATCACCTATCTGCTGCCTTCACCTATCTACCGTCCTTGATGAGACTGCGAGTTTGCATTTGTATATAACTTGTATAACTAAGGACACTGCAAGTTGTGCCTCATAAACCGGTGGTTTCAATTGATTCTACTGAACCCTTATCTGTTTCTGCCGTCCTTACCTAGTCTGGCGCCCTTACTTATCCGATGTCCTTGCCTATTGTCCGCCCTCGGATTTCGTGGAATTGATGAGATTGCGAGTTTACTTGTAACTAAGGACATTTTAAGGCGCGTCTCATAAAGCGGTGGTTTCAATTGATTTTACTYTACCCCTAATTGCCGTCCTTACCTATCTGTCGACCTTGCCTATCACCTTGCTTATCTGCCGTCCGTACCTATCTGACGCCCATGCTGGACTATCTGCCACCCTCGCTGTCTGCCTGCTTTCATTGCCTATCTTCCGACCTTGGATATAGGGCAATAGTCTCCTTCACGGTTCCCTGCGCCATCTTGAAAGGTAGCCTTGCCTTTGCATTGAAGCGAGACGACCGTTGAGCGTGCAATGATAGAAACCTTTCACACATACAGACAATTGTTCACAGGTTTCTATCATTGCACGCTCAACGGTTGTCTCGCTTCGATGYAAAGGCACGGCTACCTTTCAACATGGCGCAGGTAACCGTGAAGGAGACTATTGGCGAGTTTCCATTTGCAAAACGAAGGCACTTGACGGCACTTGACGGCACAGGAACCCCAACCGATAGCTCTGTCGGCTGCGGGTCAATGTCCATGTCGCGAGTCGTGGATAAATCCTGTCTCGTGTATGAAAATATTTTGTTCCCGTTTGCGATGCATTTGCATTAACCACGACATTTTTTGTCTACCCTCGACCTTTTGATTGGACCCGCGCCGATTAATCACTTTTGAGGAAGTAGTTTAGTTGAGGAAGTTGCCTCGGTAACCATATAATTTCTGGTCGCATATTCGAGTATGGTGGATTGGGAGGGGATCGTAACGACCGTAATCGGAAACAAGGAAAAAGAAAGAAACCCGCGTCAAGCTGCAAATGTTTTGAGAAACCGACTGCATCAGAAATTCAAAAATCAACATTGAAAAAAAGCGTTTACGAATGAAAAAAATAAGAATTTGACGCATTCAGTCACCTTAAAAAACCATTTGTCTCACGAGGATAGATTTCCAAGCTTAGTTTCATTTATTCCAGGGTTCGAACGAAGTTCAAACTCAAGGTCTTTTCAAGTACTTTCAGGGTCAAAGTTACAACTTTGAATTGTTTTAATTCTCTGTAGTATTTGGAATCTCTCGCCAGCAGCAATGTCCATTTATAGGCAATTTGGTATTACAAACACAACAGAATACGACAGAAATACAGATTTTTGGTACTACTTTAAACTGCTAGAAATTAAGTAAAATTTAAGCTTTTAAACTTGATACCGTCGGAGCCTAACCTCCCAGTAACTTCTAGTCGAAATTATTTCCGATAAGAGCTACGTATATAAGCTTGGTGCCTCTTCTGGTTTTGACATCTGAGCCAAAACTCTGCGGGTCAAAAACTAATCTGACCCTAATCTGAGAAAATTCAACTGTGGGCAAGGGTTTAATCCCTGGTTGGCCGGCGCTTGAAGACGGAGGGTCACGGTACGCTGAGTAGATCAGTCATAATGCCCGGAGCGATCGAACCTTAAGATTCGTTGGACAACACGTGACATAGTGTACCTTGCATCTCCGAACAAATCTAACAAATCAGTCATTACAATCATTTCTCTTTTTTGTGTCGAATTCTTTGTCTTTTCTACATCTTTAACCAGAGGGGCACCTAGTTTGTTTATCATATATCTTATGCGCCATAGGAAGATTATCACTGCAGGTACTGCATTTATCACGTACACCAACAAGGTTGTTAATCGCCCTTTAAATCCCCATTGTTAGCACCTGTTGCGAGTACTCTTATTACCGTGTGGTGGTAAAATAATAGAAAATTTTGATCGCAGCCAACGCGTTCAAATGTACTTCAAACGGCTAATGATGCGCCCGGGGGGGGGTACTCCCCTATATTCGCTATACGGGGACGTGCCGCCAGCTAGGGTATCGTTTTCAGCGATTTTACTCTGGAACTGGGTATCGATTTTAGCGATTTTACTCTGGAACAGGGTATCGATTTCAACGAATTTTCTCTGGAACAGGGTCAGGGTTGAATTCCGGAATTATTGATGCTGGATAAAAATTCATGGGGTAAAAATTCGGTCTACACGCAAGCTAGTGCAGGATTTTACTCTGGAACAGAGTATCGTTTTCATCGATTTTACTCTGGAACAGGGTATAGTTATCAGCGATTTCACTCTGGAACAGGGTCAGGGTTTTGAGGTCCCAGCGGCACACCCCCACCCAAGTTTCGGGGGAGTACCCCCCCCGGGATGATGCGATTACTACATCGTTACAGAGACGTGAAACGTTTTCAAACTAAATTAGGCAAATTAAAGTATGATTAATGAAATTTTGTGCAATTTCTTTAAAAAAGTTAGCAAAAATTGTCATCCTAGAAATTTGACAGTATTATCAATTCTGACTGACTTTTTGAATTCATTTTATACTGCGAAAATTCGGAAAAACTCGTCTGATATATAGTATGTCCAAGTCATGCGTTCAAATCCTCCAATAACTGTATGTATGAGTCAGCCATTAGAGCCAGTTTTGCAAGACAAAATTTCTTGCAAGACGAGTTTCCGTCTTCTAAATGTGAATTAGGAAAAATGTTGCTAAAAGGTAAATTTAACATCGTAAAAACGTAGAGTGAAATAACACTGACGTTTCGGACGTTAAATGTGAGTGAATGAAGGTCGCGGTCAGCCGAGGTGAAATTGGGAAAAAAATAACAGATTTTTTTAAAATTTTAGGTCATAATATTGCATGTTTCCATTTTAAGCTAAGGAAAATGCATTAAGAGGAGCCTTCCAAGATCAGTGTGTGCGCGCCGAGCAGGCGCTTTGATCAAAGCGCCTCATATGGCATTTTCCTTGCGCACTTTCCTAACGTGTACGCCGGGCTTTCTTTCTCTACTTGGAATTTGACTTTTGTATTTTGTTTTCGTGAACCTTGGTACTGTAAGTCGTGTGATAGAAATAAAACTATCAGTCACTAACCACTTATCATGCCCCAATACATATCGGGTATCCATGACCCRTGAATAGAAACCCCTGCGGCGCATCGATATGGATTGCTATTGGCTGGTTTTGACAAGAATTGTTAGTGATTATTCGAGCTTGAACGTAAAACAACTACGAACAACATGAATATCCACGGTATTACTAGGCATTTTTGACGATTAAATACGAAACTGCGAAGCCGTWAACACTTATCTTTATTAATGCAAATATGCCTTGAAATGAGCATCACRCGGTTGGCAAACTTCAGCAAAGTATCGCGCCACGGACCGTCTTGACAGGAAACTACACGTATCAAGTGTTTCTAAAAGTAGTTCAAACAAGACGCTTGTTACAGCGACAGACAACTACTTTAGTAAATAGCAGAGAAATGTCTACTTAATTACAGGAAAATGATGGAACAAAATGTTGAATTCTCGGACTCAGTGGTCAATATAGCATGTACGCCAAGAAACAGAGCSAACTTACGRCGGTTAAAAACAACCAGTATACAGAGCTTTCAACGATGGGAGAAAGAAAATGARCTGTTGTACGCCATGATCGAGGACGAGAGCACTTGGCTCTCCACTCTTTTTCCTGATATATTTATAAATGCTGATCTGTTCTTTTACGCTTTAGAAGATGGGACACTTCTTTGTCTTTTGGCCAACTATATTCAAGACATGGCCGAGAAGTACAGTCAAAGAACTGGTAAGCCAGTACCTGGAAAAAAAGTTACCTTTCATAAATCTAGGAGGGGGATCAGGGAATCAAAGCTGTTTCATTCGCGGGATAACGTTGAAAAGTTTTTGTCTTGGTGTCGCCAACATGGCATTCCTGAAGCCATCTTATTCGAGTCGAATGATGTTGTTCTTGTAGATGAATGTAGGACAGGGGGACGAGAAATTGTGATTTGTTTAATGGAGATTGCAAGAAGATGCAGTTCCTATGAATTGCAACAATTACCTAAATTGATTCAGCTAGAACGAGAAATAGAGGAGGAAGAATTTTGTCAGGCCGCTACAACTGCTTGCGAACCTTTGACGCTGGACACTGGTGGTAGTAATGACATTCAAGGGGRCAGAAGCCCGATTGATTCGGATTCTGGCGTAGAGTCAGTGTTTGATGAAGGAGTTGATCCAACTGTCCCGCAACTAATGGAATTCACATTAGATGACAGTCATGAACACATCGAAAACTATGTTGCGGGCACCACAAASACTCTCGAAGATCAAAAGCCTACAAAACAACAAAAAGAACTTTCATCTTTACTGGAGAGCAAGGGTCCCAAGACTGAACTTGATAAAAAGGTAAAATATTCTTCGAATTATTATTAAAGATTGTTATTGACCCATAAAGCTGTCTGTCAAAATGATCAACTTATCAACAATGGTCCTAAGGGAACTATATTTCTACTATGGAAGATTTTTTCATCGTTATAATAAATTTTAAACTACAATGTAGATATCCAATTTTTAGTCCTCCGTGCTCTTGTGCTATATTGTTATATGGCAGTTCTATATCATTATAGGGATTTCATGTCAGTTTGCTTACCAAACTATGTGCAATCATCGTTGCACGCGATACAAAAAAATATCTTTTATCGACTTCACTTATCATAATAATAATATAACGAGGTGAATATGAAAACGATGATCGATAAGGACTTTGTTTTCCTCAAGTTATTCTCTTATAAATAGACYGCTGTTACTAATATAAATATCAACCTAATCAGCATTGACATGTTAAATGATTATATKTCTTGTAATTTACTGTATTCATGTAAGGAGGAAATTAGGAGTCGATGAGTACAAGAAAACGGAAMGTAACCGTATCGAAACCGTATCTCGTAAAGTATCAGTGATAATTAATTGGGTGTTGGATAAATTAAACCAAACACTGTGCGGATTATAGAAAGACTGTATCCGTATAGTGTTTGAAATGACGCTTTTGATTTTATATYACTGTATCAGTATAAACCAAAAGAAATACTACTACTACTACAACTACTACTACTCCAATATTGATTAACCGAGTTATGACTTTCAAATGAGTCGTGAGTCATAATTAGTCAACGAGTCAAAAATATGAAATTGCAAGATAACTTGACGAACAATGCAATGAAATAACAGTTCTTCGAGATTTTGTATTTGGAACTTGAGTTTAATCGAAATTTCTTTGGTTAGTCAATCCTTTTTGCCAGTGGTTTTATTCATCGATCATAAACATCATGTTCTAGCTGGATGTCCCTGTCGCGTAYTGCCCTAAGGCAAAATGACGTCACAGCAAAACATTGCATTGTCAATCAATCAATCGAACTTTCTTTTAGTTATTGTTATGGTTAGTTTTTATAACTAAGTCATTGTTATGACTGCATATCAAAGAAAWTGTACATGARCAATCATTGATGCATGMTATATGAAAACTARATTGAATTGAGAGTATTAATAGATGCAAATTKTCCACTGTTTCTGAGCATAATTTATTCCCACTGTAAATGATGATGTGGCGTCATCATGTGATAGCTGGGAATTATCAAAGTTTCCAAAAATTGTGCTAGAATGAGCCTATTTGGTCACATGCATGGACACTTATATCTGATAACTTAGGTCATCCTATTTAGTATTCTTTATCCATGATCCTAGCAAAGAAAGGTCTCCGGTTTGATACCTGMTCATTGACCAATGCAGGATGTCAACCAATTAAGTGAAACAGCCACCATTGCTTCTATTTTGATATAGTGCGTATTCAATGTGGGAGACAATTTAGAGTGCTTTGTAAAGTGAACCAAATCTTTATACCTGATAAAACACTCCCTTGTGTTAAGCTGTACAAACACATTTTTTGTACTTATTAAAAGATCCTCTTTTTGTCCACAAWAGATTCAATGTTATAAAATCATGCAATTGATAATAGTGTATRATAAATTATTTCAGCACGACATTTACTGTCCTAATACTGTAAGACT